TTAATCAGTGACTTTAACAGCTGTTTTGGCACTTTTAAGTGATCACAGGTAATTCCAAAACCATAATATTCAATCGAGCGCAGTATCAGCGCTATCACGGACACCTTTAACCCATTACCTTACGATTATTTTTCAACGTGTATAAATATGATTTATAATAACACCTAATCGTTATCAAATCGCAGTCATGTTTACACCTTCCCAAGCTACTCCATGCACTTCTGACAACAGGGGTGGGCAGGGGTTAAAAGATTCTACGGTACCTCCAGAAAATCAACGATACACACAAACCTCAAGATCGTTTTCAAATGTCGTGGCCCATTCATCTTTTCCTAAAAAGGATCAAGCTATAATATATCCATCAATAGAAGGATGCAATGTGAAAGACTATGTTCTTGCAACTGGGAAAATTGTCGGCCCCAAAAACGTATTGTTTGCCTCACGCATGAGTAACAACCGCGTTTGCATATACCTATCTTCAAAAGAAACTGCTCAAAACTTTATTGAGGAATCTGGTGGAGTAAACATCAACAACATATTTGTACCTGCTAGAAAATTGATTTTACCGGCTACACGAATTATTTTGTCAAACGTTGCACCTTGTATTCCGCACTACATACTGGAAGATGCACTAAAGAGAATCCCTTTGCAATTGGTTTCCCCGATTTCATTTATTGGAGCGGGAATTGGTCTTGATGAGTATGCACATGTCCTTAGTTTTAGGCGACAGATTTTTATTGCAACAAACCCTGACAAGCCGAACGACTTCCCTTCATCCATTGTTTTGGATTATGAGGACGAGCAATATAGAATCTTTCTCTCTGATGGAAAAGTGAAATGCTTTCGATGTAATGAATATGGACATATTGCTTCTAAATGTACGCTACCAGAACGTCAACCTTGTGCACAAGATGAGACAGTACGTAATGGCACTAAAAGGCCCCATCCGCCTACCGCCCCTTCTACCGAGGTCATATCTCTAGATCAAATAAGTGAAATACGGAGTGTTCAGGACGATTTGAACAAGGACATCGACGCACGCAGCGAATCAGAAGTAAGCGATTCTTCCATCGAACAGGTAGTTGTTGAAGATAACTTCCTAGTTCCCAATAATTGTTTAGCTATTCAAAACTCAAAAAAACGTAGAGTTGAACAGTCGTCGCCTGAAACCCATGATGAAATTCGGCACCTCTGGGAAAAAAATAACTTCCGTCTTGATTTCGTAACGTTTACTAATTTTCTTAATCAAGTCAAAGGTACCTGTAACCCACTAGATGTTGCAAGAAGGTTCACGAATAATATCGATGATCTCTTAACATTGATTAAAGAAGTAATTCCTTACTTCGCACAACGAGCAACAAAGGAGCGTTGCAAACGCATAATAACAAATATCAAACGAGACTTACAGAAAGAAGGCAGCGTGCAACAATCTGCAGTGCATCATGCATCAGGTGGTAACTTCTGAGTCCGAGCGCACGCCGTCCGTTGAAAGCCTCACCTTTTAAATGAATATGCAGGAAAATAATTACGGAACACTCAACACAAAAAGTTTAAGAACAGAATTCACAATTCACAATCTTCGCGTGTGTCACGTAAACATTCGTTCATTAAATTCATGTTTCCATGAGTTCTGTGACTATATCACCCAAGAAAACTTTCAACTAATCGCAATATCTGAAACCTGGCTCTCTTCTGACATGCCTGATTATTTGTATACTTTACCTAATTACTCACATGTTAGACGAGATAGACCGTCTAAAGGAGGTGGAGTTTGCTGGTATATTGTCTCACACATTAAGTTCAAATTAATTGATATACCTCTTCCAAAAGGTTCAACTTTGGAGCAATTACCTATGGCTGGAAATCTGCGTCAATAAAATAAACGTTGGTGTCGTCTATATCCCTCCGGAACCATCTTCACGAAGTACTGCCCTAAATGAACTAGAAGTATCCTTATCTGAAATTTGCTTACACGTTGACCAGCTCTTGCTTGTTGGCGACCTCAATACAGACATGTACAAAACTAGCATGCGAGATCAAAAGCATCTGATGGGAATTCTGGATATGTATCAAATGAAACAAATAGTTGAGGAACCTACGCGTGTCACCGCTTCTTCGCATACACTGATAGACTTGATTTGCATTAGTCAGGAAATATCTGCAGAAAAGGTGGGTACAGTTGACCTACACATGACAGACCATCGACTTACATTTTGCGAAATTGAGATCCCTGTAAAGATTCCTGAGGCGCGAACTATTACTTATCGTGATTTTAGTCTGTTTGATCCAGTACTTTTTGCTCGAGACGCTGGCAACATGCATTGGGATTTTATTCAAGAATTAAGCGAAGTTGATGCTAAAATTTCTTTTCTAAATGAGGCCATTTTGTTTTTATTCGACATGCATGCACCTCTGAAGACAATAACCTGCAATAGGAGACGAAATCGGCCTTACATAACTCAAACAGTGATTGAAATGATTCGTCTAAAGGACAAAGCATATAAAAAGTTTTTAAAATCCAAATCAGTGAGTGATTATCGTTATTTCAAAAGTTTAAGAAACGTGTGTACGGCCGCTATACGAAGAGAAAAGGAAAGTTATGCAAAGTATGTTTTAGAACTAAATTCGAATAACCCACAAAAGCTTTGGAGAACCCTTCAAAACCTCCAAATCCATAGGCCTAATAAACCTCAAATTCCGCCAGGTCTTTGTCGCCCTTCAGACCTTAATCAATATTTCATTAATTCAATAAATCCACCAAACATTGACGATAACCTCTTGCATTTCTACAACAACAACTGTAAAAGGGATGTGATGGATAAATTTGACTTAAAAGCAGTTAGTGAACTCGACGTATCTAAAATAATTAAAAAACTAAAGTCAAATGCGACAGGAATTGACAACATTAACTTAAAGCTTTTAAAACTTGTTGCCCCCTATTGCATCAGCAATATAACGCACATTATTAACACTTCCCTCAGTCACTCAGTAGTACCATCTCTATGGAAGAACTCCATTATAATTCCTGTTCCTAAAATTTCAAGCCCAACTTCCATGAGCGACCTGCGTCCAATCAGTATATTACCGACCCTTTCAAAAATTCTGGAAAGAGTAGTGTACGAACAATTACATCAACATGTCCACCGATATATCATCCCCAACGTTCAATCAGGATTTCGGCCATTTCACAGTACAAACACAGCACTTCTCAAAATTACTAACGACATTGCTACAGCAATTGATCAAAAGGACGTCACCCTACTGGTACTAATGGACTACAGCAAAGCATTTGATGTGATTAACCATAAATTGCTTCTCGCCAAATTGGCATACTACGGACTCTCTGCCAACTCAATCAAATGGTTCTGTAGTTATCTAGATAACAGAACGCAGTGCGTAAAACTTTATGGTGAGATCTCCAATGAAGTTAAGATCCTAAAAGGAGTACCACAAGGCAGTATACTTGGCCCTTTGTTGTTTATAATTTTTACTTCTGATCTACCGCTGTCACTTACCGACGCCTGTACTGTTCATCTATATGCGGACGATACGCTAATGTATACATCGTGTAATCCGTCTCGAGTGAATCAAGCAGTGCATAGTTTAAACAACAATTTGCGTCTTGTTTCGGAGTGGTCTGTGGCAAATGGTTTGATTCTAAATCCGACTAAAACAATAGCTATGTGTATTGGTGGTAAAACTTCACGTGAACGCGCATTAGAGCACTTAAGTGAGCAAATAAAAGTAGGTGGCGTAACTGTTCCGCTTAGTGATGTGGGGAATGATGTAGATGTAACACACCTAATACAAGTAGGCGGCTCTGATTTTGGATGACAGTTCGAATTATGTAAAACCAGAGACTTGTTATAGCAAGTCTCTGTGTAAAACGTATATAAACACGCGTTTTCCGTTCTCTTAAATAATAAAGTATTCTAATAAACTGTAATTACTCTTGACTTGTTCTACGAATACTTCAGTGGCGACGAGGATTGTGAATACGATATTCGCGCGCGTATAAGAATTCTGGGAAGTAAGGGAATTTAGAAAATTGTTTGAATGACGGAATATCAGGAGCTCATTAAAACTTTTCAAGTTACGGAATTGGAGCGAGTTTGCTACACGAGTTCCCTGATGGCTCTACTAAGCCGGTCACTTATGCAGCAACGTCATTCAACGAGGCCGAGAAAAACTATCCACAGGTGGAGAGGGAAGCGCTTGCTCTGGTATATGCAGTCAAGAAGTTTCATAAATATATCTACGGAAGACACTTCGAGCTCCAGACGGACCATAAGCCGTTGATCAGCATTTTCGGCCGTAAGACGGGCATCCCAGTTCACACAGCGAATCGCCTGAGACGCTACGCTCTTACGCTTCTGGGGTATGACTTCAGCATCAAATACATCGGAAACGCCAATTTTGTATACGCTGATTTCGTGTCTCGACTCGTCAGCTCTCACGCCAAACCGGGTGTCGAGGATGTCGTTATCGCGGAGATTCGATGCGCTATGGAAGACGAAGGCGTCGACAAGACTGAAGTAGAGATTTCGGTTACGTTGTCGGTTCCAATCAATGTCGAGGACCTTCAGAAGGAAACTGCAGCATGCCAACACCTCCAAAGAGTCAGAACTTATATCGAAGCTGCGTGGCCGCAACGGAAAAGACAGATCTCCGATGATAAGGCAGCGGAACTCTTCATTCACTGGGACCGACTGAGGATAATCAACGGTTGCATCTTTCTCGACGAAAGACCTGTCATTCCTACGAGTCAACAGCAGAAGATACTTGAAGAACTTCACATTGGGCATCCGGGTGCAACACGCATGCAATCACTAGCTCGCGAGAAGTGTTTCTGACCCGGAATCAACGATCAAATCACAACATTCGTCAAGCGATGTAAGCAGTGTGCTGAAAACGCAAAATCGCCTATTAAAGAAGTTTTACACCCATGGCCGAAACCTGAAGCACCGTGGCAACGATTGCACATCGATTTTGCAGGTCCAATGGAAGGTGACTACTTCCTTGTCGTAGTGGATGCTTTTAGCAGTTGGCCGGAGGTCATTCGGATGCGTTCAACCACGGCGGAGAAAACGGTCAAGGCAATGGCTGAAATATTCGCTCACTGGGGTCCTTGCAAAACGATCGTTTCGGACAACGGACCACAATTCATACCAGAAACTTTTAAAAAATTTTGTATGGCGGAAGGCATTCAGCACATCACCTCAGCTGCTTATCATCCACAGTCGAACGGAAGGGCGGAAAAGTTCGTTGACACTCTCAAGACGGCTTTGCGAAAACTTGAAGGGACGGATGGTGGCATCGACTCTCATCTTAGGATCTTCCTGAGCAGCTATCGCCGAACTCCATCTAATGCGTTCAACAATAAATCACCGTTTGAACTCATGACGGGACGCAAAATGCCTTCGAAATTCGATCTTTTGCTCGAACGGTCAGACGGAAAAGGTGATCCTAATGTAAAGATGGCTCAACAGTTCAACAGACACCACGGAGCGAAAGCACGAACATTTGGCATCGGAGAGACAGTTTACTATCAGATGCACCATGGCAATGACTGGATGTGGCATCCAGGAGTTATCCTAAAGCAACTGGGAGAAACAAATTTCCTAATCAACGTGAAGGACCGAATCATTAAGGCGCACAAGAATCAACTGCAACGACGAGTGTCACCAATTCATCAGGACAATGAAACCGATCATTACGACGACTTTGATTGTAATTCCTATTCGTGTCAGAACAATCAGGTCCTTGAAAGCCCTCTTCCACAAGATGATCCAAACGAAAGCCGCATGACAGGCTCATTCGACGATGCCGATGGAGAATTCTCAGAAGAAGTACAAATTCAGCCATACGTCAACGATCGCCCACATCGCACTACAGCAGGAAAACTGCCCGAAAAGTACAAAGACTTCGTGATGGCAGTCCTGGCCAAGCATGCATAACCTGGAGTCCTGGACATTTCATCTTAGCGGGGAGGAGTGATGTAGATGTAACACACCTAATACAAGTAGGCGGCTCTGATTTTGGGATGACAGTTCGAATTATGTAAAACGTATATAAACACGCGTTTTCCGTTCTCTTAAATAATAAAGTATTCTAATAAACTGTAATTACTCTTGACTTGTTCTACGAATACTTCAGGGAAGAATCTGGGGGTGTGGTTTGATAAACATTTAAATTTTGAAAAACACGTATCTAAAATGTTGCAGGTATCTTTTGCGAAGTTCAAATATATTTATAAATTTAAAAAAGGTGTTGTCGTCTTCATTGAAATGGTCTTTAGCCACAAGCCTAGTTATGAGTAACTTCAATTACTGCAGCATTGTATATTACAGTTTTCTTACAAAGGTGTATAGGAACAAAATTCAAATGTTACAAAACACTTGTTTACATTACTCTTTTAGTATTAACTATAGTGCACATGTTACGCCATATTATTACAAAAACTCAATCTTAAAAATGGAAGAAACGTTTTGTTTACAATACGTTAGGTTTTTATATAATCTACTTGTAAATAAAAGTCCAGGTTACTTATACAGCCAGTTGATTTTGCGATCTGATTTGCATAGCGTGAATACAAGGTTCAAACATTTGTACAATATTCCAGCCCATAGAACTTCAAAATATGAATGTAGCTACTCAGTAGTAGCGCCCACTTTGTTAAATAAATATATTCAAGGGAGAGACATTAAGAGTAAGAATTTTTTTAAAAATAATCTGAAACCGCAAATGATTGAATTGTACCATTGAATAACTTTGACTCAACGATATTATACGTAACTATTTCATTTATATCTATTTAACATTATTTGTAAGTTATCTTCCTGTTATTATAGTTTATCTTCTTTCTTTTATATTGCACTTAAAATTAAGTTAGTTTAATGTATCTGTACTTGCTGGTGGAGTGGAAGAACAGCTTTGGCTGAACTCCTACCATTTGTGTTTTTCACAATAAACATTATTATTATTATTATTATTATTAAACTACGGGAGTGAGTGCAAAAGTTTGACGGAGATTTGAGGTCCCTACGTGACTTTTTTAGGGACCCAAACATCGATTTTCGTAAAAAATCGCATACATTTTTAAATGATAGGAAATTGAAGGTGGTTTTACCCAAATAACCACGCGTAAAAAATCGAACGCGATTGTGCGCAGATCTCGGCGCAGATACTGAGATGACGATTAGAATCGAAATGTTCATAAAAAGGTCCCGAAAAAAGTAAAATACCCCTAAAAAATTCAAAACACTTTTTTATTATACCTGAATCACAATCTCCGTTTTAAACACTCAAATGTGTGCGAAAAAAGGCCTTTTTCGTCGACCTCTCGATAACAGCATAAATTACACCTTAGTTACGGGTGTAGCATGATACTATAATAATCAGATATGCTCATGCGCACGCGAGCGCATCTATAATGACGTCACTGGGTGACAAACGAATTACTGGTAACATGATAATAGTATCATGCCATAATGACAGCTTGACAGTAGCGATTTGCGTGTCGTTCTATTTGAAAGTAAGCGACATGGTGTATTGTGCGGTGATGAGTTGTACAAATAATTCCAACAGAAACAGCTATACTTTTAATTTAAATTGTCGGTATTTTCGTTTTCCTAGACTGACACATATTTGTGATGAATGGGTGCGTGTTTGCAACAAAAAACGTAAATTTAAAGTCGAAAATTCTAGAATTTGTTCTGAACATTTTGTGGAAAGTGATTATCGTTTAAGAGAAAAGCTACAAAATTACCCACGGCATTTATGGTGTTTAAAAAATGATGCCATTCCTTCTGTAAATTTACCAAAATTAAATGAAAGTGAAGATGAAAGCTTGGATACATGCAAGTATCAGGATGAACGGTCTCAAGACTCGTCTCAAGATCAAATAGCTTCAGAAAGTAAGATTTCTACAATGGAAGAAATGGTAATGAAATTCTTGCTCTAATATATCCCTACTTATAAAATTTCTCGTATATATTTTTAGTTCCCAACATTCTTGCAAAGATTGTATTACATTTAAAAGTGCCATTTTAAAACAAAACGTAGAATTAGAGCTGATTAAGAAGAAACTAACAAAAGTTGAAGAAGAATCTGAAGCATTAAAGAGTAGGCTTGCCCAAAAAACTGCAGAATTACAATTAATGGACAACAATTTTCTAAATCAAAACAAAGAATTGGAAATGGTCAATGCAAAACTAATTAAAGCTGAACGCGAATCGGAAACTGATAGACGTATGCTTGCAAAGAAAACCGCAGAATTGCAATTAGTGGAAAAAATTTTTACGAATGGTCAACTACGAAAACTAAAATCCACAAGTAGTCGCATATTATGGAGAGTAGAAGACATTGCTTCTTCAATATCCTTATTCTCAGCAGGACCACGCTCTTATCGTTTATTGAGAAAAAGAGGTTATCCACTCCCAGGGCTTTCTACATTAAGGCGGTGGGCAGAGAAAATTGACGTCAAGCCAGGTATTTTATAGCAATTGTAAAATTTAGTACATGGTTTTATAACTAAATATTCTAAACATTGAAATAATCTCTTTTAGGTATCTTAACTATAATACTAAGGCTAATGGAAAATAATTCTCTATCCAAAATGGACAAAGCTTGCGTTGTGCTGTTTGATGAAATGAAAATTCAAGCTGGTTTCGAGTACGAAAGAAAAAGTGATACAACATTAAGCCCATCAAAATATGTTCAAGTAATTATGGCTCGAGGTCTATTTGGAAACTGGAAGCAACCGATATTTTATGATTTCGACTGCAAGATAACTAAAGAACTACTATTCGAAATTATTAAAAATCTTGAGCACATTGGTTATCCAGTGTATGCGATAAACTCAGATCTAGGAGGTAGCAACAGGGGTCTTTGGACATCGCTAAATATTTCAGAAAATAAGACGTGGTTTGAAAATCCAGCAACGAAAAAAAATATTTATGTATTTGCGGACGCGCCTCATATGATAAAACTTTTAAGGAATCATTTCATTGATACAGGTTTCCTGTTGAATGGCAAAATTGTTAACACAAAACCTATTGTAGAACTTTTGGAAAACAACAAAAATTTAGACTTACGCATTTCTCATAAAATCGATGAGAGTTTTTTAACAGTCAAAGGTCCACAACGGCAAAAGGTAAAATTAGCAACGAAATTGTTTTCACACACCATAGCAAAAGCCGTTGAAAGATTAGGTTCTTTAGGTTTAAGTCGAAGTGATAGCTTTTTAGAATGCTCACACTTACTCAAAATTACAAATGATTGGTTTGATGTGTTTAATTCAAAAGTTCCCGAATGTGATTCTCGAAATAGAATGAAGGCTTATGGTTTGTCCTTGTATGATCAAAACAAAATTATAGATGACATGTCGAATACAATGCTTAGCTTAAGAAAAATTGATTCTAAAGCATTATTGCCTTTTCAAAAAGGTATTATAATAGGGAATACGTCATTAAAATTATTGCTTAATGATCTTAAGACAGATTTCAATGCAAAATATTTATTAACTTACCGCTTAAACCAAGATCCGTTAGAAGGTTTTTTTTCAATAGTTAGATCAATTGGTGGTCTCTACGACCATCCCACTGCTTTACAATTTAAATATCGATTAAGGAATTACGTTTTAGGACGAAATGATGAAATCATTTCTAACTCTTCAAATGTAGAACAGGCAGTAGATGCACCAAATATTATAATTGAGAACCTACATACATTAAAAAATATTTGTGACGATATAGATAATGTAAAAACAGTTACTGGGCAAATGTTAAGTACATTAAAAGTAAATGTAGATAGGTACGACGAAGGTACAACAGATGAAATTTCTTCAGTAGATGAGCTGACTCAACTGCAATGTGACGGATTAGAAAACTTAGCGGGATATGTAGTTTTCAAATTAAGAAAAAAGGAGACTCTGGGATTCATTCCAGATTCCAGCGATTGTTCATCTTCGTGGCTTAACCACGTGTCTGAAGGCGGTTTAATGAAACCCACAAATAACTTTCTTGAAAATTGTAGGCAGCTAAATGCGATTTTTGATGCAATAAATGGAAATTCTTTAAAAATTCAAATTAATTATATAAAAAACTTAATAGAACATTCTGAAAATGTAGATGTTAGTCTTGATGCCAAAAAACTGTTTTTTAGGTGTAAATTGTATTTTAGAATTCGAAAATTAAATCGTTATATTAAAGAACAGTCAAATACGAGGAAAAGAAAGTTTGTAAAAATTGTTAAATAATGTTGTTACTAGTCTGGCCCCTCTAGATTACATAAGCAACTAAAATGTACGTATTTTACAACCCTCGATATTAAAGGCTAAGTTATGACCTCCTCGTGTATGCATTTTATGGTCTTCGTTAAGGATAATTTAATTTGAATTGTAATAAAGTATAATTTATGATAATTTGTTATTATTCTTTGCCAAGTCTCATCGCTCAATAACTTACACTTCTCACTTGGAATGGTCATCTTGGAGAAATTAGTCATAAGAGCTACCTCTAAAGTGTGCACTAAAACGAACGATGAAACATTTTTATCCCTGATCAACTTTTGATAAGAGACCTTCCCGAAATCGACTCATTCATATCATAGTGCGAACTCGGTGAAAAACTAAACATCCTATTCAATTCATTTCCTGTGCCACATTTGTTATGCACTTTACAACAACAAATGTTACTGTGTAAATCTCTCTTAATATTCATTGGCGACAAGCGACAACAAAATTTAAATTTGTCACCCGATGACGTAATGCGCAAACAAGTTCTAAATTCGTTCGCCAGTTGAGCAATAATAAGTAAGAGATTTGGATAACCGCCTATGATTGCAATGTGCAAATTGTTCGCCATAAAAGAGAGCTGCCCTATTCCTTAGTCCTCAACTCTGTATTTATGCGCAAACTCCCCAAGTAATTATTTACTTCTCTCCGCCTACTTTTAAGTAGCGCCAATTTCAAATGTCATAACCTATAACTCGAAAATAGGGTTAAAATTTTATTAAACCATTATTGTGTGCAATTACCATATGTAAACACAACCACGCACCATTCGGAAACTTCACCGAGACTTCTATTCGCTTCATGCAGGTTCATATTCACCACATTGGCCCCATTCCACCTGCCGACTCCTATCACTATTGTCTGATCCTGTGATGTCTTTAGATAAGTATACCTACTAGCTGGCCGAGGCACGCCCTCCCAAGACCAATCGCCGCCGAAGCGTTTCTTACCTGTTGACTATATCGCTTCGATTCCCCTACTAGCATCTTCACCGATCAGACAATTTGAATCTTCCCTTTTTTGTGCCCTCAACATTGTTTTCGGCACACAAGGATTCGGGACTTGCACTCAATGGCCTACTTGAATGATTTCACTGCCAACTCAAATCAGCGCTCACGTGCCACCCAGTGCGTTCTGGTTCAAGGTACTCTGTATCGTTCTGCTTGGAAACTGTAGCATTTTCACAGAGAACTTTCGAGCTTCCTCAGCGGAGTTTGTTTACGGTTACACCCTTCAACTTCGAAGGCAAACTTTGTAACGATTTAGAAACTTAAATTGCAATTGAAATAATATACCTATAGGGATTATATCTTGAATATAACATGAAATTGGATAAGTTCGCATCAGCTATTACAAAGTGATACATTACCAATGTTCAAAGAAACACAATTAAATTAAAGACATTTACTGATTTTAAAATAAAATTAACATTGTCGAGTTGGAAATCTTTTAGGTGTTAAGTGTGACCCCCATATAACTTCGTGCCCCCATCATGCTTGCGTGCATCCAAATCAATGCAGTCATAGCGGTTAAAATGACGAGAACACAACCTTCTTTTTACATCATCGAATTCCGATAGTTCACATGCTTGCAGTCACCGATTCTTGTTGCTTTTTTCACTTGGGAATCTAATAACAAGTATGGCATAAATTAATTGATTGCAGATAATTGCATTGTAACTTACTTGTGCCATGAAACCGAAGAATCCACTTTCCCACAAGTACCTGCATTTCTTTATTTCTAAGTAATGAACACACTAAAATTGCCAAACATTAGGTATTCCTTTACGTATACTGATTTATATAACTACGAAAGGCTTCTTTACTATTAAAATTAAACAAAAGTTCAATAACTCATAAACAAAACAAACAATTTAACCTCAATCCGTTATGTCAAACTGGAGTAAATGCTTGGTAAATAACACTACATAATAACAGGCAAGCGCATTAGCGCCTAGTTCCAACTAATGACAGAAGTATATTTCCATCCACTAACGTTGGCGATAGGCGTGTCCACTCGTTTATCCATATACTTCTCTTATATATATGGAATAAATGTTAACTACAACGCCATTTTGTAAATCTTGTTGGTTTAGCTTTAGAGGTTACTGTGAGTGTGTTTTTATTTTGCAATCGTATGTATTTGTATCGGTGTTAACATTTATTACAAGCGGGATATTTTATTAACAGGTGAGTAAAACACGAGGTAAAATATTAATGGCAGAAAGCGGCCCGTACATGATCAATAATATTGTGAAACCAGTCGATATGATCTACATAATTCATACTAATGGCTGTATTTCAAAATTGCAAGAATTTTACTTCAATACCCTTAGTCAAACCATCAATACCAAAGAGGCAATCTCAAAATTATTGTCAATATTTAGAAATATTGTTATTATTGATCGTGTATGGGCCGCTTAATACTTGATTTCTTCATTTCCCATATTTTTTGTTAGAAATTGGATTTCGCTGTAATTATGGCAGAATAATCGGCTGTATATTGAGTATGTCTGATTCTAAAGAATTGCCAGAGAAATGTCTTTTGGGTCTTTCCAAACGGCAGTTAAATCGCATAATACATAATGTAGCTAAAAAGAACTGCGCATCACATGTAGCTCAAGCCATCGTAAACAACGATGAGCAACGCAGTATTCAACTAATCGCAAATAGCTGTATTGATCCTGATGAGGAACGAATTGATGGATACGATTCCGAAGGCTCTTTTATATGTATGCTGGATGTCTCGAACAATGAAGATCAAGAAAAGTTTGGGATTAATGATGACAAACTTGTAAATGATGATGTCCTTCCAATTGACAGCTTACCATTATCCGCTGAAGATCAATCTGATTTAAATACCGACACCGAATTATCTAAAGAAGTTAGAAGACAGAAAAAAAAGAAGAAAACGAGTTCTTCCAGCGAAGAAGAGTCCGAAGCCTCGGACGCTACTGATGAGCGCATATTGGAATATCCACAACCACCAAAACGCTCCAGACAACTCCAGGCAGTAAAAGGTAAAGAAATTATAAGATTGCAATAGATTTTGTACAACATGTATTTTTAGATAATAGTCAAGACATAGTTTTGGAAAACCAATCTAGCTCTGGTATCCAAAAATTGGACCAAATTGAGGCACCAGGTATTTGTTTAGCTTTTTATTAAAATTCTAAATATCTAATAAATTATTCTACAGTATCTTCTTTGAGGGCGTTGCGGGAGTTACAATCACAAACACCAACGACTTCGGTGTCACGATGTTCTACACCCCAATATACTGTTAACGCTGATGAAGGTATACATTAAACGTGCTGATTTCTTATGTGTAACACTATTAATTTTTAGATTTTAAATCTAAGTTATTTAAGGAGTTTTCCTTTATAAAGGTACATTTAATCAAAGTTAGCCAACGACTTTCGGCATTGGAGGAAAATCTCAATAGTTCATCCAAAACAGAAGCTGATGACGATCACATAAATAATGATTTTGAGGAGATAATCAAAAATCAGTTCCCATTACAATTGGAAGCAGATTTACAAAATATGGAAAGGCAATTAACAGAGAATCCTGATTTAAAAAAATTTATGGTGAGATTACTAGGCGAATGAATTATATACTTAATACATTATTTTAGGTCAGTTAATGTAGTAGCTTTGGTGGACATAAAGTCGATGAGGTTACTAAAATTATTTTGAAAAAATTACTATCAAATAAATTAGCTGGCAACTACAGTTGGTTGGGAGCGAAAAAGAAAATGTCATTCAGTGGATTACAGATAGCAGAAGTTATTTTATGTAAGTTAAAATATATGTACGATATAAGCAATTATGTTTTTACCTATTACTTTATGCACTTGGGACCTACTTCTATTAATCTAATTCTTTCAGCTGCTGTAAAACGAAATAAATCTTTGGTTGGTGCTACAGAAAAAGATGTGATTGATTCAATTAAGAATTGGTTAAGACATGCTGCTGCAAGATATTCAAATCAATGGTATGTTATTGTTGCATGTATGTTTATTTATCAGGAAAAATTTTTTTCTAATTACAGCAAGAAGAATCAGAATCAAGAAATACAATGAAGTGTATAAGTTACAGATTCGTAAAATAAAGATTGCTATAATCAGAAATTTTTTATTTAAAAGGATTACTGGATATCTTTTTTCACCCCTTTCATAAAACTGGCAGATATCTAATGGAGATAATCATTTAACGTCTAATGGAGATCTGTATGGATATCCAGATTCTTGGATATAGTGGGACATCTGGATGTCTAAAGGACATCCACTATACGTCTATGTATATCTAATAGAGATAATGGATATCCATAAAAAACACATCTTAGACGTCCAATGGTTGTCTTTGTGCTGTGTGGGTAATGAACTGTTTTCCTTTTACATTTTTGAATAACACCGAACACAAAGTAATTAATTAATCATTATTTTCGAGTGCTGCGTTGCTCGCACATGTTTTTGGATGTCGAAAACTTGGATTTTTGACATCCATACTCAGCCTAACAATAATAGTATATTATATACCGCGGGACTGAAGTCGTACTTTTAATCCCGAAGGTAAAGTTTATGGCCCGACCGAAGGGAGGGCCATAATTTACCTGAGGGATTAAGACCACTACTTCAGTCGCAACGTATATACGATATTTTTCGTACTTCCGAAACTTAAACACTTAATATTATGGAGTTAGAAAACGCGTTCTTTCAAAAAATCGTTGCTTAACAAGTTACCATAGGAACGTTGCGTTGGTACGACAAACCCTATGCTATGGTAACAAAAATAATTTGGAAACTGTCATTGCTATAGGGTTTTCGCTATAAATAGCGTTGCACGTCATCAACAGAAGAAAATGGCATGCCAATTTAAATCAAGATTTGACGGATTTATATTCATTATTATTTAGTTACTTTTTGGGAGAATAAGTTGGCAGATTCGGAATTTTTTTTACAATGTTGCCAAACGTTATTTGCAGTGTTGCCAATGTGAGGGAATTTTCCCGACTGGCGGGATATTTAACCACCGCATGGAATTTTTTCGGGAATGATCATGTTGGGGGAAATTTGGGGAATTTTTCACATTTTATTCGTGAAATGGGACAAATACTTATAAAATAAAATATAAAATGCTTATGTACCTTTGATGAATATTAAGTACAGTTTTTAATTATTAATTACAACATTTTTAACTGCTCTGTGATAATGGTCGCTTGTTCTTGTACGAGACCTACTCTGTGGTAATCGAAAATAAACAGCAGTTTAGCCACAGCCACAAACACGCGGAACGAAAGGCAGCGCCGCGCCACGCCAGCGCGTAACACTTTACCACAAGTTAGGTTAACGTTTGTTTATGATTGTGTTGTTCTTTTATTGTTTAAAATGGAGAGGTGGCTGATTAAGGTAATTTTTAAAGATGTTTGTTATCTACAATTCGTTTTAATCATTGTGTTTAGAAATCTACTGCTAGTGAGTGTAACACTGTAGAAAGGAATGATCCTGATGAAAACGAGGAGGAGGGTTCCAGTTCCATCGAAATGGACTTGGATTCCATGGTAAGTTGCAATTTGTGATAAAATCTATTGCTTTGCTATACATGGTTATTAAAATTCATTTTAATAGGACAACCACGAGCTGACTAGTGAAGAGGAATCGTTCTCGAACGTTGAAAAGCCTTCCAAAAAGAAACGAGAAAAAGGAATGTATGTGAATAAATTTTGTGAATCATGGCTTAGCGTACCACAATTTCAAAACTGGCTGAAGAAATCTAGAAGAACAGACAAGAGTGGACATGACTTGTGTTACTGCGTTTTATGTAAAACGGAAATAATGTGCCACAAAACTGGAATATTACGCCACAGCTTGTCCAAAAAGCACAATTTGAACATGAAACAAGTATCCACAAATACTAAAATCCCAAATTTATATAAAATCTCGCCAACAGACGACAATGTCAGAAATGCTGAATTAAAATTATCTGCTTTGTTAGCCACCAATAATTTATCTTTTTCACTAATGGATACCTTAGCTCCATTGTGCAAAAATATCTTTCCGGACTCTGAGATAGCACAAAAACTATCGCTTAAAAGGACGAAAGCTACTGCCTTAATCACAAACAGTTTGGGAAAGTTTTTTTTTGAGGATCTGTACTCTATTCTTCAAATTCCTGGCACATTTTTTTCTATTATCATGGATGAGACGACAGATATTGGAGTAAAAAAACAGTGTGCGTTTACTGTAATTTATTGTGATCCAAATAGTGGCAAAATTGTGACAAAGTTTTTTGACATGATAGAAATTAGTTCAGGTAAAGCGGAAGATCTGTATAGATCACTTAAAGAAGTAATTGTAAGCAAAAATATTCCTCTTACAAATCTTGTTGGGTTTTCTTCAGATACAACCAATGTCATGGTTGGACATAATAATTCAGTTTTTTCATTTTTAAAAGCAGAATTAAAAAACATTGTTTGTGTAAAATGTTCTTGTCATATGATTCATTTAAGTGCATCAAAAGCATGTTTGAAACTTCCACGTTCAGTGGAAGATTTACTTAGAAATTTAGGGTCTCATTTTAATAGAAGCCACTTGCGACAAGAAAGATTTCGAGAATTTCAAGAGTTTTTTAAGACAGATATTCATAAAATACTGTCACATGCTACTACTAGATGGTTGTCTATGAAACAATGTACTGATAGAGTACTGGAACAGTATGATCCACTTAAGGCTTATTTGAGAGAATTAACTTTCACAGATCCTTCAATAAGTAACGATGACATGTTGAAAACCATCGAAAATCATTTTACTAAAATATATTTAGAATTTATGTCGTATACTTTAGAATTGTTAAATGGGTTTAATCTAATGTTTCAATCAGAAGCGCCCCTATTGCATAAATTAAAACCTCAAGTAGAGAGCCTATTAAAATCACTGTGCAGTAATTTTATAGATGTTAAGTACATTAGAAAACAAGGTTCCGTTTTGAAATTAAACCATACTGATCCCACCAATTTCGTTCCATTAGATCAGCTGTACCTTGGTATTCAAGCATCTGAAAGCATCCAGAATTTAAAGAACGATCCTAATGTAGCACGAGAAGACATTGAAAGGTTTTTTAAAAGTTGCTTAAATTTTTATATTGAGGTTGTAACTGATATAAAAACTCGATTTGATTTTAGTGATCCTGTGTTTGAAATAATTAAAATTGTTGATCCAGGGTTTGCATATGGATTTGAAGTAAAATCACTAAATTTTGTAGTTAAAAGATTTCCATTTTTAAATGATTTTATAGATATTCAAGAATTGGATAATGAATGGAAAGAACATGCTTTGTTGGACTTACATAAATTAGGTATTAATATTTCATATGATGCACAGGAGTATTGGCAAAAAATATTTGCCTTAAAAAACGCTGCGAATATTGAGCTTTTTAGTAACTTAAAGACAGTTATTAATTTCCTCTTAGTTTTACCGTTTTCGAATGCTTCTGTGGAAAGAATATTCAGCGATTTAAAAAACATAAAAACTGACCATAGAAACAAATTAAATACGGCCACTATTAACGCTCTAATAGCAACAAAACAAGGAATTACTAATGTTGTAGAATTTAAGGTAGATAAAACTATGTTGAAATCGAACATTTGGAAAGAAAAATAAAAAGTTCTCTGGTTGTCTTGTTTTTTCTTTGTATACGAAATCTTATATCATAGTGTTTGATATACAAGATGTTCGTTGAAGAGATCGTATATATACACAGAGTGGTATATTAAATGTACGAAAAACTTCATTTATATACGTACCCATAGGCACTTCAGTATTTAGTATCCTTCAAAGGTCACACTTGCGGGTTGGAAGAGAGAAAATAATGAATAACCGCATTTTTCTTTTGGGGCGGGAAAAATTGGGAATTTTTTGTATGGATAGTTGGATTTCTGCATTTTTATGATTGGCAAC